ATAACGTCCCAGTGGCTTTTAAACCCCAAAATACATTACGGCAAAGATCCAGTCCCCCGGCACAAACAGAGTAATGTTGTGTATGCTGTTCAGTGTCAGGAGGGCTGTGATCAGTCTTACATCGGGGAAACAAAACAGCCACTGGCCAAAAGGATGGACCAGCACAGAAGATCAACATCATCAGGCCAGGACTCTGCGGTCTACACTCATCTCCAGGCCAGCGGTCACTCTTTCAGGGATGAAGATGTTCACATCCTGGATAGAGAGGAACGATGGTTTGAGAGAGGAGTAAAGGAGGCCATCTTTGTGAAAAGAAATCGTCCATCATTAAACAGGGGTGGAGGCCTCCATGTTCAACTGTCCCCCTCTTACAATGCTGTGATTGCTAGTATCACTCAGCCCTCTGTGAATAGTAAACAGCCATCAGTGTGCTAATGATCCATTGTTAGGCTGATGGTCCTTCTTGAGCATGTGATCAGCTGGTTTTGGTTGTCAGCAGCAAAACTGGTTGATCCACTCTGAGACGGTGCTATTTAAGAGACTGAGCTGAAAACAGCACCTCAGACTGAGGAAGTCTCTCGGACGAGAGACGAAACGTTTCTACATTTTTTGTTGTTTTGCTTTGTTTTGGTTTTTTTTTTGAATGTCCAGAGGACCAGATTTAACTTTTTTAGATTTTTCTACCTGGATTATTGAGCATGCATCAGGATAGCAACAACATTAGTTTTTCTACTCCTGATTACTAATATTTAGTTTTAACTATTTAAGGGGTTATGTTCCTACAGCAGCGTCTAAGAGAATAACCAGCAGTGGCACCCTGCTTAGACTTCTGAACACTGGGATTTTAAGAAGAATGGACTTCAAGAAGCAGAGAATTTCTGGTCAAAAGACAAGATGATAAAATCAACTTTAAAAAGATGAATAAACATGGTAAAAAAAAATACATCTGTTGTAAATCATTCAGACAGTAGAAGGAGTTTATATTTCATTGTTGCAAAATGCAAACATCTGCAGAGCTGATCTGTGATCGATAAAAGACTGCAGCTCTTTGCCAGAATAAAAATAATTTGTTTGACTACACTCAATGGATGGACCAGTACTTAAAATAACAGGAAAATCTGAAACACTCTGTGAAGACCTAAAATAAAGAATAGTAGATTTACACGTTTAAATAACTTCATGTTCTAATATACAGAAGTCCCTCACTACTTCGCGGTTCGTGGTTTTTCAAAGTAAGATTGAACATGACACAATTGGCTGATTGATGGATGAGCCATGGATTGTTTATTTAAAATTAATTATTTTAAATGATTTTGGACCATGTGTGCAGCCCACAACTGGAGGAGTAAACTCCCTCCTGTGGATCCCCCGCAATAAATGAGGGACCACTGTAGTAGCTTTCCTGTGCCTTTGGGTGGGGGGGACTACTGATTGCACCTTTGCACTGAATGGCAGTTCAGAGGACCCAGCATTCTTGGAGTCCTTAGCAGAGGTGCTGCAAGAAGCTCCAGCTGGGATTATTTATTTATTTATTTATTTTTTATTCTGCTGGGGGACTTCAATGCCCACGTCGATAGCATCACTGTGATCTTGGTTGGGGCGGAGGAGTGACTGAGAGGAATAGTCTCTTTGATTTGGACCCAAGCAGTTTTCTGTTGTTGGACTTGATGCTCGTCACGGTTTGTTCATCACAAATGCCATGTTCGGACATAAGGATGTCCATAAGTACACGTGGCACCAGGACACCCTAGGCCACAGACTGATTATAGACTTTGTAGCAGTGGCATATGATAAGGATACCCCCTGTACACCTCCCTTAGGAAGGTTTTCTGAAAATGTCCAGTATGCCCAGGGGAGGACCCAGAACATGCTTGAAAGACAGTTTTGCTCAGCTGTCCTGGGAATACCTTGAAATTCTCCTGGAAGAACTGGAAGAGGTGACTGTTGAAGAGGATGTCTGTGCCACCCTGTTCACGCTGCTGCTCCCATGAACTGACGCTGGAACAAGCAGAAGATAATGGATGCACAAATGGGCAATTGTACACAAGTATAAATTATTCATATGAGTCACCACGTTACCAAGCACTGGGCAAAAACCCAAACTGTCCCACTCAGATGAAAGGAAACTGTTTAGGATGTTCTGGAACAACCAAAAAACCAAATCTCAAGTTTGCCATGAACTGAAAACTACTAGAATACCAGTGTTTCTTTCCACAGTGAACTAAATTTAACACCCCCATGCACTGAGAGAGAATGACCAAGGAAGAAGCTCCTGAATCACATGAAAAAGATGGCAGCTGTCTGGACTGTCCATTTTCCAACACACACAAAAAATACTATTGGAAAGTATGGGCTCACACTTTACTAATAATGCTGCTTGCACCATTGCCAGACCTTGACCCACCCTGAGATCAATACTCATATGCGTTCTAAAAAAATCAGGGATGGACAAGGTGATCACTGCAGCGAAAGAAGAAAGGTGCTTTGAATATGAAGGACATCTGATGTCTCTAAGTGTTTCCCAGTACAACTATGTTGATGGAGACTGCAGTTGTGGGGACAGCTAACCAAAACGTTAGCTTTGCTAATTTGCTAATCCGCTAACTAAAAAGTTTACTTTGCAAATGCATCCTGTGCTCCAGCATCAATGTGTGGCATGAAGGCTGCACAGCTGCAGAAAGAAAAGCTTTGCAGAGAGTGGTGAAGGCTGCACAGAAGATGTTGGAGTCAGCCTCCCCACCATCACAGACATCTACACCTCCAGATGCAGGAAGAGGGCCACCTGCATCATGAAGGACCCCACTCACCCAGCACACACAATTTTTTTTCCCCGCTCCCCTCAGGCAGAAGGCTGAGGAGCATTAAGTGTAGAACCACCAGGCTGAGGAACAGCTTCTACCCTGAGGATGTTAGACTCACGAATCTCTAGCCAGAAAAAATCACTGTGAAAAAACCCCCTGAAAAATCGCTGTAATGCCACTTGTTTGTTGACATGTGCTGCTGACTATCCATGTTGCTGATCTCATGCTGCTGATTATTTCATGTTGCTGTGTTCATTAATCCTCATCTGCTCACACAGACTCGTGTTCGTGCTGCTGTTGTTTTGGCGCATTGTTTTTGTACCATTAGTGCTTAGTGTATTCTTAGTTTAGTGAATATTGTATATTCTTAGTTCATGACTCAGATCACTGTTTTTCTTTACAATTTGTTTTTGTTGGATGTAACTGGGACCCTGTGTACTTAGTTTCGTCCCACCTCATGTATCATGTATGACAAATAAATCTCTCTGATGGACTCTGACTCTAACTAAATAGGTAATAAAATTAGTGGAAGCTAATGTTACCTGCTAACCGCTAACTTCTATCAGACACAGCTGTCGCTGACCCTGTAAGACTAAGGTGTCCAGATGTCCCCGATTACTGGGGACAGTCCCTGTTTACTGGGGACAGTCCCCGTTTTGGATGATCTGTCCCCCAGCTAAAGCTGTCCTGGGAAATGTCTTGATTTTAGCGTTTTATGAATGAGAAAAAATGTTGCATGTTGACTGTCATTATAGTAGCCAGGTAGAAAGTCCAAGTGAATATGTTGCATGCAACAACAGCTGTTACTGTAGCTGGTCAAGCTGCTGTTAACATTACAGACAGAGAAGAAGAGCCAAGCGCGCCACCTTTAAAACAGAAGAAGAAGAAGAGCGCAACGCGAGCTTGTCACCATCAATGGGGAGCTCTCCTGTGAGATGGTGTACGAACTGATGAATTTTGTTTGAACTGGGCTGATCAGCCGTGATAAACATTTGGTTTGTGGTAGGAAATGTTTCTAGTGTTGACAGCTGTGCCAAGGTTAAAAAAAAATAGGGCTGGGGTGTTTGTTTACTCAGTTTGGACGTATGGAAGTTAGTGAGGGAAAATGAATGAAGCAAGAACTGAACTGAAATTGATGAGGAGGGAGAGATCATCTGCTTAAATGTGCATTTCTTCTGTTCTATGAGGTTGTACCTCAAAATAAATATAGTTTTTTGCTAAATATAGAATTTTTACCATTTCATCAGCGGAGGAAACGAGTTAAATAATTAGAGGCAGTTTTTTGAGTGACAATGAAATAAGTGAAAGAGCAAATAAAAATAATAGGTAGCATATTACTAAATTGTGTCTTATTTCTTATGTTTTAAGTATTTCACTTTACTATTATCTGTGGGAAGTGGTGGTGCAGACGTTGGAAAAGGTGGACCTGTGATCGGAAGTTCACTGGTTCAACTCCCCGGACAAAAAGATCTGTAATACAAGATGGACCTAGGTTGTTGAGGGCGTATTTTGTTTTTGTTTTTTACTAAATGGCTTTTATAATGTATGTGAATGCTTTGGAATAGTGCCCTGAGACGCCTTCTGTTGTGACTTGGTGCTATATACCGTAAACTGAATTGAATTATAAATAAACTGAAATGAAAATCACACACACAGGTCTTATTTACATCTATTTACATATTTAAATGGAGGCGTGTCAGGGGAGGTGTCTCATATGTGCTTAGTTCCACTTGTTAGAATGAATAAAGGAAAGGTGCTCAAACCCATGAGAGCATAAAACTTTGACAGTAACTGATGGAGTCAACTTGTTTAGCTGTGTAAGGATGGTGCCCCCTGGTGGCGGGTTCCCATCCCTACACTCCCTGGTCTCCCTGTTAATTGTCTTGATTGTTTCCACCCTCGTGTCGTCCAGGTGTTTGTGATTGCCTCCCTGTGTATTTGTGTATATAAGTCTGTGTTCATGATTGTCCTGGCATTGTCTCCTGTTACCTCTTGCCTCCTGAGTTCCCAGTGATCCCTGAGTATGTAAGTTTGCTGCCCTCCAGCTATTTTGCGTTCTTTATATTAAACAATATTATTTTACCTGCCGAGTCGTCGTTCTGCCTGCACCTGTGGGCCTGAACCACACCAAAACGTGACAATCTGTTAGCAAAATGTCTTGTGAACCAAACGTCTGGAGGTAATCATTAAAAGTAATTAACTTAAAGATGTCAGTACAAATGAAGATGGCTGCCAACCGTGGACAACACAAAAACTGCTTCTCAGATTTCCTGGTCAACCTCACAAAAGCCCAGTTAGAATACGGAAAACTTTTTGATGTGTTCTGAGAAATTAGTAGATTTTTCTCCAAACATGGAGCCCCAGTAAATTTTAACTCAAGCACGACCATCAGACAGAAGGTGGTTCAGTCTAAAAGTAATGGAGTGCACATTTCTGACCGAAATCTTCTGAAAGGGGTAGTTGAAGGAAACAAACATCTGCTCATGTTTTCTTACTGAACCCTCCTCTTTTCCTCACTTTACTTCCTTATCCTCTTTCCTCAAATCCCCAGCACTTTCCTCCTTTCTCCGACGTTCCTTCCCTCCTCATTCTTTGCTCCCTCTGGGCATCCCCTCCCCCGTGGGAAATCCAGAGCAATGTGACTATGGTGGTTCTTCCAGGAAGCTGTGGTGGTGACTCTGGCTCCCCACGCAGAGGCTAGAATAGTGCCAGCCAGCTTGTGTGTTTGTGTAAGAAACTTTGTGTGTGTGTGTGTGTGTGTGTGCGTGCATGTGTGTGCAGGCACCCTCCACAAACATTCCACCACCATACCGTCCATCTGACCGCCGGCCAGCCTCGCACGAGAGCCATGCCGTCACTGTGGTTCAGTCCTGACGCCAGCTCTGAATGCTCGCCTTACACACACACACTCACACACAAACATTCAAAACACGAATGCACGCCACATAAACAGAAAGCACGAGGGGCTGCCTCGGGCACGCACTAGCACACTCACTCAGATAAACAATATGCACTTTGCAGAACACACACATTTTTGAACCACAGACCACAGACATTGCATCCTGAAGTAGATCAAAGTGTCTGCAGTAAACACACAGATGACTCGTCGCTCGTCTCCAGCGTGCAGCTTTCTGGTGAAACGCGATGCAGTTACACTGAGCTTCAACTGTCATCTATCAGTGTGTGAGGGTGTGTGTGTGTCGGCTTTGTGCTTCACACCACTTCTTTCCCTTTCTTTGAAAACCTTCACAGTCCCTCTCATCAACCCCTAACCTTGTTCCCTGCCTCCCACTCCCACTCTGTTATTGAACATCCCTGCCAAATCAGTCACTCAACCACAGCCCTTCAGATCTTTCCCTTTTGTTTTCCACTCTTCTCTCCGTCGGTCCATTGTTGAGGAGACAGCGGTGCAGACAAACAGGGAGAGAAGATATCCGCTGGCGTACCGCAAAATTGGAGAGAAAGAATGGCAGGGGAGATACATGAACTGATACGAGGGTGAAGTTAATTACAGGGGACCGCCAATTAGAGGGCGCAGCGATGGGTCTGTTTGGCTCGCCGCGGCATCCCAAAAACATCACCATCTCCCACCATGTTTATCCTCTGCCGCCACAAGACCACAGCTCCCATAAGCCATCACAGGAGACAGCTTACATGCTCAAAGGGGTTACGGCTGTGGAAAACGCAGGCAGTGTTTGCAGACGTGACAGACATGGATAAACGATCAACATACTGTGGCTCTTTGTCATCTTGCCTTTCTTTGGCTATTTGTGTCTGTAGCTGCACAAAACATGTTTCCTATAACTCATACAGTCCGTTGAATGAAACAGAAACATGAACAGAGGTAAAGGCACTTAGTCTTTATAGTGGTTTTGTCAAAAGTCTTTTTTAGAAAAAAGAACATGTATGCATAAATGTTTTAAACAAAAAAGAGAAACATCACAGCTCAACGATCAGTAAAACTCAACCTTCGGTCTGGTGAGCGTAACACTGCATATATGGCTCTGCTGAACACTTGAAGTGTGTATTCGTCAAACAAGAACATGAATTATTCTAAACCATTCCTTCACATTCTTTTATGATTCATCATCTATGATTGTGAGAAACTAAAACTTCACACATCTTCTGATATGGCTTTTCGAGTCTTAGAAGAGACAGTGTTCAACGGTATCAATACTGCTACGTGGTGTACAAGGGAAGCCCCCTGTACAGAGTCTATTTGCTGGAGCTGGTCCTCAAAAAGCTCCAATCTCAGTCCCCCATCCCAGGACTGCCTTGGTTGATCCATTTGAGCCCCTGCGCTGTGATGTGGGAGACACCAGAGGAGCAAAGGGTCGGAAAGAAACTTGTGGAGCAGCAGCAGATGATGAAGTAGAAGAAGAGGTGGAAGAGGAAGGAGTGGGGGGAGGAAGAGGTGAAGTGCTAGTGGTGCTGTGGGGGGACGGTTGGCTTGGTCTAGAGGGGGCCAGGCCTGAAGATGCTGTGAGGGAGGTGACCCTGTGGACTGAGGCCAGAGTTGTCGGGCTGAGGAGCGGGGGTATGACCTGCTGGCAGCCAGCCAGGGGTGCGAGCCGAAGGGAGGCGGGCGAGGGGTAGCTCCCTAGTAGAGCGAGATCCCTTCGCCCAGAAGGGAAAGAAGCTGAGGAGGGGGCAGGTGATGAGGGGGCAATCTGAGGGAACGAGGCCCACGGCCAAGGAGGGAAAGGCAACGCGGAGGCAGGGGGGGACTGCAGGAGGACGGGGTCAAGCTCACTTGCACAGTGGGAGAGGTGCGAAACGAGGCGAGCGCCAATGGGGTCTGGTGACTCCCCCTCCAGGGAGCTCAGGTATCGTACCACCTCCCCAACACACTCCCTGAAGCCCAGGGTCCTGTAGTCCACTGCCAGAGCTCGTGCGTCAAAGTATCCTAAGAAAGAAAGAGAAAAGCACTTCAGTCAAAGGTGGCAGTGTGTCATGAAACACGCTGCGAACTAATAAACTTTGTTTCAATCTAGTTTTCATGTGTCTGTGTACCTTTTCCTCCCATGGCATGCAACAGTTTCAGATGGTCCACAGTCATCTGCAGGATCTCTGCTTTCTCCAGTTTTGAAGAACCCTTTAGGGAACATGCGTAACACCAAACTCAGCATCACTCTGATTTATGGAGCCGTTTAAATGACTGATTCATATTTGAAAGGAATTCAGTGATTTCTAACCTGTTTCTCAAAAGCGCTGGGCACCAGCCTGCGCAGCTCAGACAGGCTGTGGTTGATCCGATCCCTGCGCCTCTTCTCTATAATCTGGACAACGAGAAGAAGAGAAGAGCCGAGGGTCCATCAGAGCCAACACCAAAAAAGAAAAGGACACCACTAAAAAGGCGAGGATCCTAAATTTACTTACTCCTCTTCGCTTCTTGCGTGCCAGAATCTGCGAGGCGCTGCCTGGTGACATGGACCCGGTGACTGGGCTGCATCAGAGCGAGTAAATAATAAGGAAGATTGAAGGATTAAATTAGCACAATGTGTCTCCTGCACATTGTTACTATTACGTCTCTTAATATGTCACAGAGAGACGATGGAACACTAAACCTTAGTCCCATTTTTGGGATGGAACAGTGTTGGAAAAAGACAAAACTGTTTTTGGTTTAATTCTTTCTTGAACATTAGTCCCAGTGAAACGGCATCTTGTTCATCTTTCCATCTGAGCACTTTTAGAAAGATGAATACGTAGCCTCGGGGCGATGCTTCCACGTGCACGTGTACTCTGACATGCAGCATGGGAGCCGAGCTCCTCCGTCAGTAAATATGGACTGCGTTTGTTTGTGAACTCTCGTCTTACAGGCCTGAAAGAGCTCAGCGCTCCCTTCAAGCAGCACCGCAGGAGACGTATTGCATTTCTATTAGACTTTAACATGCCAGTTCAGAAGAGTGTTTTTGTTTAGGCGTCTATTTGATGGGGATGACTTTAAAAGGCAGCGCTGTCTTCTGTTTTGCACATCACACAGCAGTTTAACTTATTAAACGCCTCTTTCATGTCACGGCCTCGCTTTGTGTTTGACATGTAATGTGCGAGGCAGAGTTTTTGCCCCCCCCCCCCCCTTCCTCCCCCGTTTACACTGTTGTGAATGTTCTCTTTAGTCCAGATGTGTGTAACCAATTCACCTAAAGTGAAATAATCGTGACTTTTAAAGCAAACGTACAACGTTCTGAGTCATTTTGCTGCTTATCAGATGTTTTCCGCGACGAGAAGTTGACTTGTGGTTAAATGTGGGCTCATGCAAACTTTCAAAGATTGTTTTCTGTTAAAATAATTTCATTTTGCGATAAACGTTTTTATATTTTTTCATTGCATTTCTTAAAACAGTGTCTATTCATCAAATGCACACAATTCTTGTGGAAACATGCAACAAATAAAACCATCAGACTGTTTAAAATGAACAAATGGGTTATAAAGAAAAGACAAATGACTCTTAAAATTTAAGTAAGTGTGATGTTATGAAACTTTTTTTATTTTACTTTAGAGACTGTCAAATAAAAATGCATCAAATAAGAAAAAAAAATATCACCGCATAACTTTAAGTTTAAATTGCAAATTCACTTAAAATATCTAAACAATTCCAGATACTTTACAGATGTTTTTGATCATATTTGTATGAAAACAAGTTTGTATTAGAACTTTATGAATACGTGTAGGCACGTTTCACACAGAACAGGCCTCACCTTCAGGTAGTTTTGTCATGAGGTTAATTTCTGCCAATAAATCCTGTAATAAATGACATAACTGCTTTTTGTCAGAATCACTGAGAAATGTTAATGTTTGATTAAAGGAATCAGGCCTGCTAAAGATTTATAGGTTGCCTAAAAAAATCACCAATTATAACATTTTGACACTGACCAAAGCGTTTTTAGCAAACAATAAATATTCTTAAAACGTATATCTGAAGTTGGTTCATCCTGAATACTTTTTCATGCACGGCATGAGCCTTTTGGACCAAAGTGCTAACTTTATTTCCACCCTCTTTCAGCTATAACACTGTCTAACAGCCATGACTGATATAAAAATGTATTTTCAGCTAGTGTCTATTTAAAGACAGGTATTTTCCTGCGGCGTGTGATTGAAGGTGACGTTCGCACCCCAGGTGTGGTTGGCAGATGCTCACCAATAGCTGTCTTCTTGTCCCACATCAATGAACTCGTCTGTGTCTGAGTCCGGAGAGCTGTAGTCATGAGGTCTCTTCATTTTCCCTTTTGTTGAACTGATGAGGACGGATGGATGAATTGATGGATGGATGGTGTTGGTTGGTCCTTTGGCTGCGTGAGGACACTGACGAGTCTCCCTGCTTGCTCCTCACTCCTTGCTTCTCTTGCGCTTATAAAAGCCTCGTTGTCCGTAGTTACTTCTCGTCACATGCGTTTGTTTCTGTCGTTGCTTCTTCGTGGGTCTTCAGTCCATTTCTGAGAATCTGTGGAGCCACTCGCTCAACCCCCAAGGGCCCATGACAACTAAGAAAATTCACAAGCTGCTTTAGTCTTTTACACAATCAGTAGCATCCAATCATAGCGTGCGTCTCTGCTGTGTCTCTGTTGGCTCACTCGCTCTGTCACAGCCACCCAATGACAACATGGGACTCTGGCATTTGGGGCAGGGTTGCCAGTTTCGGCTCCTCCGCCTTCTCTCCTTTCCCTCCACCCCCCATGGTCCCATCTTTCCACCCCTTTGCTCAGACGTCCTCAGTCAATTACCCTCCAGTCTTATCCTGCTTTCATTCCTTCCCATTTTCAATCCGCTTCCTTCTCTCTGCTGCTTTGTTGGACGACAGCAGCATGACGGAGGGATGGAGTGAGGTGAGGACTGTGGGAATTATGAAACGTGAAACCCGTCTAGTGTTTAACAGGATTTTATTGATCAGAAGGTGATTTGGACGTTGAATTTTACTCAACTGCCTTTTTGGCATGTCGGCAAACATGAAACAACTTTTTGATGTATCAGCCACACAATTATCAAGAAACCTGATAATAAATGCTTGCTTATGTTTAATTGTGGCTTTGACAAATGTGACCCTGAAACCGAATTTGCCTGCATTCGTAACTTTGATCGCATTTTCCAGGATGATGCAAACCGAGGCTTCTCTCTGTGCGTCTTGTGTTTGTGCCAGTGCAGACGTGAGGGGAGGCAGCGAGGGGTCAAGAGCAGACTCAGCTCAGTGAGTGTCTGAACATCTGTGCTCTTCACTGGACAAGATAGTGCTCTCTACACACACACACACCGACACACACACACGCACGGCTCCTCTCAGTGCTCAGACCGGGGCTCTGCTGCCACCGTGGGAATATTGCTGGTACAGGTTGCCATGGGAACGTAAAACCCAGGTGCCGGTTGTTAGGAGCGATGCCTGACTGACCCAGCGCTGTGCTTGTGTGTATGTGGAAGGTGGAGAGAGGCCAAGTGGCATGCCCCCCTTCAACACAATGTCCCGCTGAGTGCGTCTCTTCCTGCCTGGCAGACTGGAAGGGCGTGTTCGTTTAAACACACGACAATGCACAAGATCCTTCTGTTGGCTTTGTTTTAGTAAGTAAAAAGTGTTTTTCACTTGTTTTTTTTGTTCTGCAGGCTTTTTTTAAAGTGCAACAGCATTCATAGACATTTTGAAACTCGACACTGTTTTAAACAAAAGTTGTTGTTTTTTTAAATCATAATTTCCGAGGCATTCTTGACATCAGAAGTTGACAATTTAATAGAAATGTTTGTATAAAAGTGTTTTTTGTAGGCCTAATTACCATGAATAACCACAAACTGTTGTCAAAAGATGTACATGGGTGCATTTGACAAGAAAGTTTTAATTTAACCCTCTTTTCCATTTAGAGTTTGGTTCCAGTTTGGTTGTCACTATGGAAGAGGCAGGGGACACCCTGGACAGCTTATAAATGTATCACTGAGTCTCATAGAGACAAACAACAACAAACAACCATTTGCACGGTCACTCACACCAAGAGACAAGTTACCAATTAACCTCAACTCTGGTGTACCCGGAGAAAATCCATGCACAATGAACATGCAAAGTCCACACAGAAAGACTGGGAGGTGAACCTGCAACCTTCTTGCTAGATTTTAGTGTTTCTAATAATTGCCTGCCAAAAAGCAAATGGTGGGCAATACAGTACAGTGAATACCCGTGTCTGGTTAAGTGTCTGTCTGTTAGCAAAATCTCTCATGATAAAGTGAGCAGATTTTAATGAAACTATCAAAAGTTATCATTGGATGTTCAGAGAAAAACATTTGAAGTCATCACGATTCAAACGGTTCACAACAGCTAATCAATGTCAGAATATCAAAAATAAAGTATGTCAGTTTTTAGAAATTGAAGAAAAATTTAGAGTAGTTGAGCTGAGAGTCATTCCCAAGACAAGACTCCAAGACAGTGTTAACAGATCTTGTGAACAGATCACATGCACACACACATGACAGGTCTGACCAACGCGACTAAAAGTCGCACATTCTGAGCTTTGTTAAACTTTGAATTAGTTTATGATCTACCAGGTTTCAAGTCTTATTCAATTCAAAAATATATTTATTTGAATAATGTTATTGCTTATGAATGTATAATCAAAGATGAAAAATATTGTATCCTTTAAAGATTATCTAATTTGAGACATAGAAAAATTACAAACTTGAAGTGTACCATAAGATTAATATCCTGATGCATGCTCAATAATCCAGGTAGAAAAATCCAAAAAAGTTCAATCTGGTCCTCTGGACATTCAAAAAGCACAAGATTAATAGTCACACAGTATGCTGGTGAAGATTCTCAGTCATCCAGGACATGATGAATTCAAAAAGCGTTCAATACAAAAACAATTGGACTTTATTTGTAACAGAAGACGTTTTGTTCCTCATCCGAGGAGCTTTCTCAATTCAAAGAGCAGAGAGTGAGGGATTGTGAATTAGATGTGAATTAGAGTAACAAAGACCTTAAGAAACCCGTACAGTTAAGGTGTTTAGGTGTGAGTTGCCAATTTACATATATGTGTGTGTCTTATCTCACTCAGCCTTATAACCTGAATCTCTCACTCACTGCTCATTGAACTGAGAAAGCTCCTCGGATGAGGAGTGGGAGTGAAACATCTTCTGTTACAAATAAAGTCCAGTTGTTTTTGTATTGAACGCTTTTTGAATAGTCACATGGCCATACACCATAAAGGTGCTATCACTGGAAGTACCTTAGGGTTCATTGTTTCTTATAAAACCACACCAACATATAAAGCAGTGTTTCCAACCTAAATGCTAAATGGACTGTACTTATACAGCGCCTTTCTATCTTATCAAGATACTCAAAATACTTTACAACACAATCTGTGCCTCATTTACCCATTCATACAGCACTCTACTAGATCTTTACAAAGAATAACCAGAGCTTTATCACATTCATACACTGATGAGACACACATTGGAGTCAATGGGTGTCTTGCCCAGGGACACTTTGGCATGTGACTGCTGGTGGAATTGAACCCCCAACTATTGCATTGGAGGACGACTGCTCTAACCACTCAGCCACAGCCTGTCAAAATAGTAAAGACCGAACTATTGTTGGTTGAAGTGCACCAACATCTCAACAATAGTCAAACTCAAAAGTATACTGGGAACACAAACAACTTCAATCAGCATCAAACAGTTTGTTATAAATTTATCCATCCATCCATCCATCCATCCATCCATCCATCCATCCATCCATTATCTTTACCCGCTTCTTCCTTTTTGGATCACGAGTTTCACAGCGCCCATATCCAGCTATCACTGTGTGAGAGGCGAGGGACACCCTGGACAGGTCTCCAGTCCATCACAGGGACACATAGAGACAAACAACCATTCACTCTCTCACTCACATCTAGGAACAATTTAGAGTTACCAATCAGTCTAACATGCATGTTTTTGGTCTGTGGGAGGAAACGAGTACCCAGAGAAAACCCACGCATGCACGGAGAGAACATGTAAACTCCACCCAGAAAGACCCACTAGTCGGGATTTGAACCAGTGACCTTCTCACTGAGAGGCAACAGCTCCACCAACTGTGCCACCATGCCACCCATCAATTTATCTATCCATGGATTTTCTTTACCCACCTTTCCTGTTCAGGATTGCAAGAAACTAATTCCAGCTGTCACTGGGCAAGAAGTAGGGTGCTACGTGGACAGATCACCAGTCCATCACAGGACAACACAGACGAAGAAGTCGGATAACCATGGAAGTTGCAACCTGCGTCCTCCTTGTTGCAATGCAACAGCACAGAGCAACCGTGTCATAGTGTAATCCTTTTTCAACTTGTGACAATGATTTAGGGCCCCAACCCTAAGTCTGAGACAAAGGAGATGGTCTTTGATTCAGTTGCAGCTCCTGTGGTCATTAACGGTGAAGCTGTCGAGGTGGTGCAACAATATAAATATATGGGAACTGGTCTTGATGGCAAACTGACCTTTGATGCACACCTGAACTCATTTTGTAAGAAGGCCCACCAGAGAATGTATTTTTTAATGGAAGCTCTGTGGTTTTAATGTTGATTTTACTTTTATGAGAATGTTTGATTATTGTTTTATTGAGTCTCTTTTAACTTTTACCTTCATATGTTGGTTGGACTTTTAACATGTAAGAATAGGAACAAACTCTCAGGGAGGGTCGGGATGTGCAGCAAAACTGCTGTCATAGCCCTACAGAACCTCATTGACCGACACAAGGCGAGGTCAGTGAACAAGGCCAGGCTGATTCTGGCAGATCCTGATCATCCACTCCATGCTGAGTTCAGGTTGCTTCCATCTGGACGTAGGTATCTACAGCCCAGATATAGAACAAACAGACTGAAAAACTCATTCATCCCTGCAGTGATCAGGCTTCTCAACAAACAGAGATGATTTCTGTACTATTTTAACGTCTCTTGTCTAGTATGAATGTTTTTGTGTGTCTACTGACTGTGAAACAAATTGGGGATGATAAAGATTCTTGAAATTGAACTTGAGTACCACTGATAGGCTGTGAACTGAAATGAACTACAAAGACCACAATCAGTTTTACATTCAAAGGCACAGGCACTTTTAAAATCTGTAAACCAGCATAAATCTATGTAAGGGATCTCCATCAGTAACTCAAAAGTGAATATAATACTGGCTAAAATGTTAGACACAAGGACTGATGGGACAGAAGAACCTAAAATGGACATCACAATGACCACCTCCACCATCTATTACTGGCACTCAATAGAAAGCTTAGGCTTACTTTTATAGGCAATGCAAAATGAACTTGATTCTGGAAACAATAAAGTTTTTTTAAATATATATTCTCTATTTCATTTTTTCTATACATATGTTCTTTTATTCTTTCAAATAAAGGCTTCAAATGATTTGGAAATTGTTACATTCTGTATTTACTTCCAACATTCATATTTGTGGGTTTTTTTTCATCTCCATCTTACAGTGGTTAAGATTCAGTCTTCTCTGCCAGTGTTTGACATAT